CTGACCAAGAGCAAAACAGTACAACCCTGGCTAACTCATTTTTTGCCCTATTTGTTCAAATATAGCATTTTTAGCCTAACACTTAATTTAGCGCCTTACCACCCATTTTCCCCCATGTATTTATGCAAAATCACATTTTCAAATTAGTGTCAAAGCCATTCTAGCTGAAATTCATAGTTCTATACCTAAATTTCACGTCTAGCTGAGCAAAAACTGATGACTTCTAACTCATTCCACCGCAATTTTTTTTAAAGATACGAATGTTTTAACGTCAGTCTACTTTTCCTCTTGCTCCCTACAAACACGCCAGAGATTTCAGTGCAGTGCAGTGCAGAAGATACTAATCTCACAGTGCCTCTCACAAAAGATATGCGCCAAGCATCATATGTTTCACCTGCAAATGCACAGTAAGTGATTTGATATTGGCTTTTTTGATTTCAGGCTTAATATTGTTCGGGTCCGAAGATAACTGTACAATTTCGTGCAATTTTATGCCTGAAACAGCACAATGTTCAGTGTGACAGAAAGCTAATCACCAATCCAAAAAGTCAGCGATAAGTCAGTAATTTAACTATAAATATATAGTGGTAAATGAAAATAAAGAAGTAAGGCATGCTCCTTCCTGCCTGATAACGAGAAAACGAGTAAATACAAAAAACAAACAAACATCAAGATCATCAACAGGCCAACAATCAGCTGGTGGAAATCTGGCTCCAGGGACTAGGATAAGGGTATGCGATGAGTGGATATCACGAGAGTGTGCTACGATGAAACGGCTACTGATCGAAGTAACAAAGTATAACAGCATAACAAAAGTATAAAGAAACGAGAACTGCTATCTGTCCAAGAACAATGTGGTGAGTACATCCAGTGGCTATTACAAAGGTCTTTTCAAGAGCACCACAATGTCTAATTACACAATCAGTGCGACAGCTTTTTCTGGCTTCGAGCAGAGGAACGCACAAGCCCTCGCACACTGAACTCTTCAACTCGAATGAGCACCGAGACATTCTGTACATATTTTTATCACAAATTCATGGATTCCAAGCATAGCGGAAACGTACGGGGCAAAATTTACGTAATTTTAGATTTATTTACATTAAAAAAAACTTTCAAACATCAAATTAAAAATCCAAGCGAAAAAATCGCAATGAAACAAAACGAGCTGTATGTGACGCATTTTGCCTAATTCTTCGTATTTTTTATCATGCTAAAAATTCTCTCCTTTCTCTAAACAAGGAAGAATGATGCTACCTTCTCACCAAACGAAGGGCAAAAAACATGTAAAGTGACAAGTCTCCGCAAAATTTTTTAAAATTCGGCAAAGGCGAAAGACTGACAACTTACTGAGCATTTAATGAAAACTGAAAAAAGCAAACATTTTTGGGAAGAAAAAATTCCAACAAAGATAAGCACATACCGGAATGTCCGGCCATATACTTCCACAATAAACTTGGCAAACGAAAACAGGCAGCTTCGAGAAGCAAGAAAAATGGTACCCACTGATAATACGAAATACGTCGTTGCTTCTTTTCGGTTGAAGGCACGCCAGCAATCACTTCACGCATCGGTATATAATAAGTATCCTGTGCCCAGCAATAATTTTCAGCGTACTGTAAAGGCGAAAATTTAACTTTTAAAGAAATTCGTATCTATGGATAACCTTCAGTCATCTTTCAGTGGATATTCTCATGCCACTACTGTAGTATTTATATCGAAAACACTTGATGTATCCTCATAAACGAAAACAATACTAACTACTCTATTCAAAAGTACCCGTTTTTCGATCATTTATTACGA